GGACACCTGAATTCTTCCCATGTTTTGGCTATTGTAAGTAATACTGTGTTCAACATTACGTACCATACAAGTATCTGTTAAAGTTGCTGCTTTCAATGCCTTTGGGTTACATACCTAGGATTAGAATTGCTGCATCATGTATATGGTAATTGTGCAGCTTGTTGATGAACCACTAAACTATTTTCAATTGGAGCTGCATTATTTTACAGTCTCATCAGCAATATACAAAGATTCCAGTTTCTCCAGATCCTCACCAACATTCATTAGTTTCCATTTTATTGATAACAGCCACCCTAATGGTTGTGAAGAGCTATCTCATTGTGGTTTTGATTTCCATTTCCCTAATGAGCATTTTTACATTTTTACATTTGCTTACTGGCTATTGGTATATTAGTCCATTTTGTAACTAGGTTGTTTATGTATTGAATTGTGGGAATTTTTATGTATTCTGGTTATTAACCTCTTATCAGATACATGGTTTGCAAATATTTCCTCCTGGAGATTATTTTCACTCTCTTGAGAGTGTCATTAATGCGTAAAAATTGTTAATTTTGATGAAGTCAAATTAAACTCTTCTCCTGTTTTTACCTGTGCATGGTGTCATATCCAGGAAATCATTGCAAAATTCAATGTCACCAAGACTGTGTCCTGTGTTTTCTTCTAAAGACTTTTATGGTTTTCACTCTTACATTTAGTTATTTGATCCATTTTGAGTTGATTTTTGAATATTGTGTAAGTTTGGGGTCCAACTTAATTCCTTTGCATGTGGGTAATCAAGTTTTCTTTGCAGCGTTTATTAAAAAGACTGTCCTTTTCTCCCTTTGAATGCTTGGTAATTCCTTTCAAGAATCAGTTGAGTGTACATTTGAGACTTTATTTCTGGGCTTTCTATTCTGTTCCCCTTGTTCTTCCAGTGCTATATATATATATCCTTTTTTTGTCACTGTTGCTTTCTAGTAAGTTTTGAAATTAGGAAATGTGAGTCCTTCATATTTGTATTTGTTACTCATTTTCAAGATTGTTTTGGCTAAAAGGGATTCTTAAGATTCCATATGAATTTTAGGATGGGTTTTTCTATTTCTACAAAACCACTGGGATTCTGATAAGGATTGCATTGAATCTGTAGGTCATTTTATATAATATTGTGATTTTAATATTATCTTCCAATCCATTAACACAGGATATCTTTACATTTATTTAGGTCTGTAATTTCTTTCAGCAATGTTTTGTAAATCTGTGTACAAGTCTTTCTCCTCCTTAAGATTAGTAAGTACTTTATCCTTTTTGACACTATTGTAAATGTAATTGTTTTCTTAATTTCTTTTTCAAATTGCTTACTGTTACTGTACAGAAATGACAACTACATTTTTTGCATGTTGATTTTGTATCCTGAAACATTGCTAAATTTGTTTGAGTTCTAATAGGTTTTTTTGTGGATTCGGTAGGGTTTTCTATGTGTACAATTAACATAACCTACAAACAAATCATTTTACTTTTTTTCCATTTTGGGTGCCTTTTATTTCTCCTGTGTAATTGCCCTATCTATAGAGTTTCTAGTAATAGGTTAATAGAAGTGGCAAACATGGGCTTTCACTGTTTGGTATGATGTTAGCTGTGGATTTTTTTTTAAGCCAGAGCCAAGGTGGGTGGAATCTGCTAATATTCACCATCTATCAAATCTATCCAGAATGTCTGCCCTAGGAAACTGGGAATGTAGGAACTACCACTCAGTTGTCAAGCCAAGTATATCCCCTCTCCCATAATACAGATGTGTGTCCAGAAATGGGATTGCACTTTTCTTCAGTTGTCCTGCCTATTTTGCAGAAGTTGCAGATAGGGAAATGAATGTTGCCCTGCTGCCAACACCCACTTGATACAGGCCTGTGGAATACAGAACTGTGGAAGATAGAATCTGCCTGTTTTCACCATCTGCCAAAACTACCCTAAATAGCTCTTCCACTCCAGGGAGCTACAAAATACTGAAACTGCCTGGTACTTAGCTCCCAAGCTTACTAAAATTATTCTTCCACAAAGCAGAGTAGTAGAGATAGGGGTGTAGTACATGGCTCCAATATCAAGGCCTCCCACTGTTCTTACCTGTTTTCCATAGATTCTTTGAATAAATTCTTTTCATTCTGTTGTAAGACTTTTGGTCAATCTCTGGGTCATTTTAATAATTGTCCCTGGTAATAATAATCTCCTTAATAGTTGTCTGTACAGGAAAGAGATTTCCCTAAGTCTTCACATGGCCATTCTGGAAGAACTCTCACTTTCTTCATGGTATCTTTGAAACACAGAAGTTTTTAATTTTTGATTAAATCAAATTTATCACTTTAGAATATTTCTTGCTTATGTTTTTATATCATATGTAAGAGGGCTTTGCCTAACTCAAGATCACAAAGATTTACTCCTATGTTTTCTTCTAGTTGTTTTAAAGTTTCACCTCTTAAAATTACATATTTGATCCATTTTTAATTAATTTTTGTGCATGGTATGTGATAGAGGTCTGAGTTCATCATTTTGTTTTGGATATCCAGTTGTCCCAGCACCACATGTTGTATGAATTCTGTTACATGAATCTTCTGGTTCATGAACATGGGATATGTTTCCATTCATTTACCTCTTTAATTTATTTTAGTAATGATTTTAGTTTCTACTGTATAAGTCATATACTTCTTTCATTAAATTTATTCATAAGTATTTTATTTTTAATTCTGTGGTGATAGAATTGGTCTTTTACTTTCATTTGCTGATTGTTCATTGCTAGTGTATAGAAATATAATTGATTTTTATATGTTGATCCTCATATTACTTTTCCATCTAGTGTAACAAATTTTCACTAACTTCATGGCTTAAAATAACACTTTATTATTTCACAGTCAGAAGTCGGGCACAGTGTGGCTCAATTGTGTTTTCTTCTTAGGATCTCAAGGTGCTGGCAGGGCTGTATTTCTTTCTAGAGACTCTAGGAAAGGATTTGACTCCAAGCTCATTCAGGTTTTAGTAGAAATCATTTCCTTCCTATTCTTTCTTTATGGCCCTTTCCATCTTAAAGTCATCAATGGTGGTTCAAGTGCTTCTGCTTCAAACCCCTCTGACTATCCTTCCATCAGCCAGAAAATGCTCTCTGCCTTTGAGGACTCATGAGATTATATTGGGTCCACCAAAATAATCCAGGATAATCGCCCTATTTTAAAGTCAAATGATTAGTAACTTTTTAATTACATCTGCAGCATTCCTTTTGCAGTGTAATATAATATATGAATAAGTGTAACTATAGGGGGTGAAGATCTTGGGTGCCAGAATTCTACCTACCACAATCTTGTTGACTGCAAATTCACTGAGTGTTATTAGTTCTAGTAGTGTTTTAGTGGATTTGTTAGGGTTTTCTCTATATGATCATGTTGTCTACAAATAAAGACATTTCAACTTTTTATTTTTCTATCTGGATGCCTCTTATTTCTTGTTTTTGTCTAATTGCCTTAACTATACCTTCTGGTACAATGTTGGATAAAAGTAGTGGAAGGAGATATCCTTGTCTTGTTCCTAAACTTTGGAGGAAAATGGTTAGTCTCTTTCTATTAAGCATGATGTTAGCTGTAGGTGTTTCATAGATGCCCTTATCAGGTCAGGGATGTTCCCTTTTTTTCTTAGATTTTCTTAGGACATTTATCATGAAGTATTTTGTCCAGTGCACTTTCTAAATCTGTAAAGATGCTTATGTGGTTTTGTCCATTATTCTATTAACATAATGTATTGCATTAATTTTTTGTGTGTTTCTGGGATAAATTCCACTTGGTTGTGATTTACCTTTTTCATATATTGCTAAATTCAGTTTGCTTGTATTTTATTGAAAATCTTTTGTTTATATGCATAGCATGATTTCTTCTTTAACTGCTTGGTAGAATTCATCATTGAAGCTATCTGGTTCTGGAGGTTTTTTTCTTTTTTTGTGGAAAGATATATAATTACTAATTCAATTTCTTTATTTATTACCCATCTGGTTTTGTTTAGAGAGATTCTGTCAGGTACAGTGGCCCCATGGTATACTGTAGCTGGCATTGTTGCTAATCTGACCCAGTATAATTAAACTGAATACAGTTGGAATTGATTGTTAGCTTGTATAGTTGAACAGGTAGAAAAGTTTCTTATGTTGGTACTTTGGGAATCATGTCAGATATAGTCAAGTTTATAAATCTTTTAATTTTAGGGAGTAGTGTTAAAATTTAACGATGCCTACTAGCCTTTTTAAAAATCAGAAATCTTGTAAAATTGAAAATGCTTAATAATCTTTAATTTAGTGCTTTCAAAGGTTTTGCAAGCTTTTCTTGATCTCTACAAACTACATTCATTCCACATAAATGCAGCCTCTATCACCCTGTTTACTATAGAGCTGCTTTTCTTGTTTGTATTGTTTCCTCTAAATACAAGTTTTATGACTAGCTGTTTTTAACATGTTTTTTTCAGTGAAAATTCCAGTATATGTTGGCTTTCTTTATTGAACCTGTAGACCTTGATCGACTACTATGTGCTAGGTGTTGGGCTAGGAGTTCTGATAAGAAAATTTCCTATGAGGAGTCAGATTAGCTTGGTGTTTTATATGTATATTGAAAAAGTAACCCTGTGAAAAGAGGTATGAAAATCCAGATTAGGTCCATAAATGGATTGTAGCAGTATTGGTAATGTTTTCACAATTGAATGGACTCAAAACATAGAGTAATTTGTACATACTTCATTTTGAAAAGTGTATACTAAAGTCCCGTGTGTGTGTGTGTGTGTGTGTGTAGATGGGGGGAGAAAGAGATATCTTACTATAATAGTATATTAATCACCCTGAATATTGCTCTTCCTCGGTAGTTTCTGTTAGTTACATTGCTTTTTTTCTGATTTCTAATAGAGAAAATAATGGGATCTTACAAATAAGCAGAAAAATACAGAGATATATAGTTTACAAAGCTCTTTAATTCATCTTCTAACAGATTTTTAATTCTTTCTCTTAGACCAGAAGATCAATTCAAAAGTTATTAGAATGGGAAAATAACAGATTATATCACAAGGTAAGAAAGTTTAAACACATAAATGCCCTACTCATGTATTTGTATTATTAAGTTGAAGAAAAAAATGGGAATTTTTCAGGCCATTATAGAATGAATTAGAGAACTAATACTCAATTTTAATGTATATTCTTCACAAAGTATTTTTAAATGCTGTGTTGTGTGTCTTATACTTAATCCTAGATTGTTTTCAGTGATCTTTCAAATGTGTAAATAATAATTATATAAATTGGTGTCAAAATTCTTAACCAACTATATGCTTTCTTAGCTTGCTTTGCACTGGAAGCTGACTAAAAGGAAATGTGAAACTAGCAATATGATGGAGTATGTAAGTATACAGTTGTTCTTAATTACATTTTTTATTACATCCTAAAACTAAATGTTACATTTTACTATGTTTATCGTGTCAGATCTTCTTTCTGCCTTTTTTCTCCTCAGGCTGAACTTTTGTCAGTTGGAACATCATGTTCTTTAGATTTGTAGCCAAAACAAAATATCCTGAAAGCTGGCAACTATTTTGATCCTAGAAAAATCTCAGCTACAGTATGCTCAGATAAAAACTTGAATATTAATCTTCTTTTAACATAGGTGCAAACCATCGCATATGGCAATGGGCACAACTGCTATTAAAATATTTTTAGATGTAATCTTGACAAAACTTGAATAAAATAAGAATTTACTTCTGAATTCTGAATTCATTTCTTTTTTCTTAGTTGACATTTAACTTGACAGTGAAGAAACTATAGGTTCTAATTTTTTTTTTACTGAAAGCTATACAATCTTGATCATAATACATAAATTCACATTTGGCCAATGTGAAAAATTCAGCATTATTGACATTCAAAAAGAATATGAAATTTATTCAAGCTTCAACTTGCTAACATGTAATATATATAATAAACATTCCATTTCCATTTCGTAAATAAGGGTTCATGCTACCTTTCTCTACTTTGAATAGTCTAGGGGGAAAAATGTGCGAATACCCACAGATCTAAAGTCGATAAAACCTAATATAAACTATTATAAATTTATATATTAAATTTATGTAAGTTTATAAATATCTTAGGATTTTTATTATATTTCCAAATCTTCCTTTAATTAAAATGTTTTAATTAATCTATTTGGACACTTTTATTATTTCTTACAAACAACTTGTAAAAGACAGTAGTACTCAAACAATATCAGCTGCTTTAATTGAAAAATATATGGGTGTAATATAAAGGTATAGCTTCTAATCTGTATAGTGCAGTTTTAATCCCTTCCACTTTGCTAAAATAAAAGGGAAGGAAGGTGGAGAAGGACATAATAATGTAATAGGATTTTCTTTTCTACACCTAAACAGTTATTGTAAATCAGGTAATAAAAACTGTTAGCTGTGATAAGTAATTATGTTTGCCAGTTTAATTGCCAATCTAATGATAAACTTGTGGTATATTCTTTTTATAACTGTTTTATATATTTTACTTACTTTATAGTACAGGACCAAAATATAGTCTGGGAAAAAGGATTATAGACTTTCTGAGTTATATATGTTATAGTAAATGAAAATTATTTTCTCGATGTTCTTACTTGTTTTTATTTTACAGGTAATACTAATAGAATTCTTACCAAAATATCCCATTTTCCGACCTGACTGAGGAATTTTATTCAGTCACTTCTGTGTTACCTGTCATTTCCTACCCTTAGTGCCTTGTAGATGATTTTGGAATGAAGATGGTCTCCTTTGCTGTGTTCAGTTTATTCTTTATAATGGTAGAATATTCTCCTCACTCCTTTATTTGTGTTGGTTTAAGAAGAAACTTTGCACATTTTTTGTTGTTGTTAAATAAGCTTGTGGTTTGCACTCTCAGTTTTTAAGTAAACACACAAACATACACAGATATAGTTGCCACTAAAAAATAAAACCTCACTGCTGGTGTTTAAAAAACAAAAACTTGTTCTGAGCATGCTGCCTTATAATTTTCATACTCACTGTTTCTAAATATGCATAATTTTTCTAGGCTACTTAATGCTCTGTAATCTCTTATTGGACATACGTATATAAGCTTTTGATAGCTTTTAGAAATGGTTTTACTCTTACCGGCTTTTAAAGGACATGTAATTAATAGCACTGGTTTTGTCCTGCACTTTGATAAATTATCACTTACATTAGTGGATAAAATATTTAAACTCCTAAAGACTTGTAAATATTGTCTCTGCATAATGTAAAATGTGCTATGTCATGGTTTACAGAATGTAATACTATTCTTACTGTATTGCCAACAATTCTGCATAGATTTTAATATGAATGAAGTTTGCAAGCATCCTTTTGAATGTAGACTTGTTAACGTGCTGTTTTATGGCAAAGCCATAATAAGTATGTTAAAAATTTCAGGTATAGGGCAGGGTTGCCTTTTGTAACGATTGGATTAAAATTGAAATCATTGTCTGAGATACTCTGCATTGCACCTGAAACCAAGAACTTCCATTTTTTCCATTTAATTCAGTAATTCCCATTTTTGTCGTCTACTCCCCACCCCAGAAGAATTCATTTGACATCTGTCACATTTCACAGCCTCACTGTACTCATTTATTTCCCTTTAAATATCCTTTCTCTCACTTGAAAATATACACAGTTATGACCTCTGAGGAGTGTTTAGGATTTCAAATGTCTTGGAAGGGTCTACATCCCCATAAAAGCCACAGCTAACCCCTTTCTGGAGTTCCTCTAGTCCACTTTGGAAAAGAGAGCTGTGCCTGAAGATTAGTAGTGGCTGAATCATAATTGATATTCTTAATCCTCTTTTTGAAACATTTGAGTATTATTAATGAGGAAACAAATATTTTGAGGAAACAAATATTTAGACAAGTATTTTAGTTTATAAATTCACCACGCATGTAGGCTTTTCATTGATATACACACATTTCTTTATTTCTCTTCACAGTTAAGATGAGTGAGAGCACCACACTGATTCTTCTAGAGTTTGAATTTTTAGCATAATGAAGGGTTCATATTGTCTTAATTCAACTGTAAATGTATGCCTGTATATAGGCACTGCACTATTCGTAATTCCTAGTACTAAAAATAAAACTGTCTGGGACGGAATAGTATCTTATTTATCATCTTACTCTTACTGCTTTCAGTAAACTTTTTAGGCAAACATTCATCCCAGTGAAGAGAACAATCATTTCTTCATACAAGGTCAAGCCTTTTAAGGCCACTTTTAAAATTAATGCCTGATTTGAAAGCTACAGTTTTAGACCAGTAAAAGAAGAGGGGGGAAAAGAGACACTTATTTGTTACGTGACTGTAATTGTTTGCACACTTTTCCACCTCCCTCTGTAGAACCCCATTACCCCCATGTCACCCAGACACCCAGAATCTCTTTTAATATACTGTGTGCCTGCAAATATCATGTGTCTGTCTGCTGCAAAACTAAAGGTGTATTTTTATACACAAGATGGAAACCTCTGAAAATGCATACCAAATGTCTGGTTTTATAGCTGAAGTCAGGTAAGAATTGTATCTGTGGTTTATGTTCCCGCTACTATCATCAGCTTCTTCCAACTGTGACAGTTCAATACCAAAATTGATACCTAGTCTAACACAAAATTTGTAATTATCATGGATCAAATAATTACTTTTAAGTGTCAATCCTTAGTATCTAATTTTTTTGGTAAACTTAAAAATTGGCCATGTGATGGTCATAGTATAATTTTTGAGTATCTTTGCCATGTGTAAATCACACATGGTTTTGCTCAGAGTGGCAGGAAATGGTGAATTGTTTCCATGAAATAAATTTTGAGACAGGAATAGAGTGTATCTGGAGGAGACAGAGTATAATTCAAGTTAAAGTAGTATTTGTCATAAGAGAACATTTGCCAGCATATGTAAACTTTATTTTAAAACCTACTCTAATCAGTTTTAAATTTACTATCTTATTGTTCATTATGCATATTGGCTCATCTTATTTACTTGAGCTACTCATAAAATACCCAATTTTCATTTTTTCTTATATGACTCTTTTTTCAAACAATTTTCCTTTGGAGAGAGCTGATTAGCAGTTGGGTATTTTAGAGTGCTTTGGGGGTTTGTTTTCTTTTCCATGGAATTGGCAGCAGTGAATGCTGAAATGACAGCACAAGATGGTCATTAATTCCTTACCCATTGACCTTTTTTTTTAATCCTCGAGGTAGAACATACTTGGATATTCCCACTAAGTTAGTAAAATATTGTAAGTTGTTTTTAGAATGGATAATTTTGAATTTCTTTGTTATGTAACATTCCTTTTTGAAATCTGCTGTGGTAGTTTCCAGAGAAAAAAATAACATGTTTGCCTAAGTTTATAAATCTCACAAAGCTTTGAGGTTACAAGTTAAAAACTGTTCTCTAACTTTCCCTTATGCATTTTCACCCCCATTGCCCCTATAAACACCTAAATTATGTGTAAAATGAATAAGCTCTAACCTTTTTCAGCTATTCTCTGTTCCCTCTTAACTCCTCTGTTATTTTAGGAAAGTAATCATTGTAGGCAAATGTTAGAAGTAGATAAAGAAGTGCCTTGTCTTTTTTGAACAAAGATAACATTTTATGTTGAAGCAGGATGGGTGAGCTGGTAGATCATTAGATTTAAAACCATCCTTTTCAACCAAGCCCAAGAATATTTGCCATATTATGTCTATTTATTATTTATAACCTGTTTCCTGTTTTCCCCAATCACATGATATATTAGTGACTAAATATTACAGAACAGGACGATCAGTCACATAGAAAACTAGGAAAATTCTAATGCTAGTAAATATGTAATTTAACATGGTTCTGGAAGAACAATGGTCTTTCATTGAAGCTCTGCCAAAACCCACTTAAGTATTTAATGCATACACTATTTCCATTATTATGACTTGTAAACACTAGTGTCTCATCATTTAATCAAACTGTGTTAACATTTATCACTGTCATTTTTTATGAAATTTATTCTTGTTTTTTTCATAATTTGAGTGAAGTTCTGTAACATTTGTAAGCCTTCAGACAAACAGGGTCTTCTCAAATGTTATGAGAGGTTTAAAAAATCATTAGCATCTTAATTTTGTTTACAAATGAACTACCACTTAACAACGATCTAACCTTATTAACTTGAACATAAAGCCCCAAACAATATTTCATTAGAATTGACTGTATTGACCTAGAAGTATACAGAAATTATTTACATCCATTTAACTGGAGCAGTTTCAGATACTGGAAAAACCTTTTGCTAACTGGATTGGAAGATGCTCAAATTCATTGAAATTAACTCCTTTTATGCCTATAAAATTCTGCTTTTAAAAAAAGCCTATTTGCAACAATTGTCAAATTGTTCAGGTTCCTTTAAATCATGAACTATTGGGAAATTTTCCACAGAAAAGGAATAGGCTTTAATAATAATACGTGTTCATGTAATACATGGACTAAAAATGCCCCAAATTTCTCCTTCCTGATTCTGAGCCAACCTTTTCATTTAGATGATGGCAACCTGAGAATATGTTCCATTTTCTGTGGACTTTGTCAGATTAGTACTATATGAAGAAATGATCTAATATGGGCTCCAGGCAAGTCGCTTAAATTACATGTCAGTGTCTTCATCTGTAAAGTCATGAGGTTGAACCTAGAGCTAAACAGAAAATTAGAAATCACCTAACATTCTGTAATTCTAGGAATACTTAGGAAATTTTTACTCTACAGAATCTCAGAATGCTTTTTCTTAGTTCTATTGCCTTTGGTAGGAACTCTCACAGTGCCTTGCTCAGTAAAAGTTTGATTTGCCAACTGGCTCCTAGCTGATGTGTGTTCATGTCGCACATACTGAAAGAACCTGATGCCTGCTAGACCTTAGCCCCTCCATTGTGATAAGAATTAATATAGTTTCCCTAGGAACTGAGGACTGGGGTCTGTTGACTTCGCCTGTATGAATCTCGCTATGCAGTTGGCATCCAAGCAAGAATTATAGCTGTGACAACAATAGAGATATGGGAGGATCCACCTTGACATTATGTGAAAAGGTTTTCATATCCTACCCAGTATCTGCTTCAGTGTCTTACTAAGTTCCATATCCTCAAAAAGATTTGTTGGAACATCCTGATATATGGAAAGGAAAGTGGTATGGAATTCAAACCCAAGTCATTTCTCGTTTAATTCTTAGCTTTGCTGCTTAATTCCTCTGTATTCATGTCCTCATTGTTGAAGTGGGGACAATAATCTGGACCTACCTCACAGGGGAATTGAGGATTTTTTTTCACATGTTATTGTGCTTTTAAAGTTGACTGAAAGAGCTACCACATAACAATTATGTTGTAAAAATAGATTCCTTTAAATCCGTGTTACCTTTCTCAGTCAAACCGTACAGAATGAGTGCTGCAGTTCTTTTTTTTCAGTAGTAAATTTTGTTAAAAATCCTCATGGGTTAACCTGAGTAATTGTGCTATTTTAATACTTGATTTAGGGAGGAAAAGCAGGTGGATGTAAACCTGTAGGAGAAAGATAGTAGGGGCATCCTTAAACCTTTTTCAATATTTCAAAAAGTATACTAGAAATCACACCATTTACCCGTAATGTTCCTGCTACACACTTTAACTAAGACATTGACTTCTCATGCATTTTGCTTTTATTTTTAAAACTCTAATGCTGGTTGTCACACACTGATCAGAAGCTACTACTAGCAGTTATGCTTTTGATCAGTAAAGAAAGTGAGAAAGCTATTATTACATGCAGTTTAGTAAATAAAATACTTAAAAACATGGGGATGAATAATAAAGGGATCCTTATGGTGAAAATGTTGGGAGCCACTTTTATGAAGGACCTAAGATTTTTTGACCTTCTCCACAGGTTGCTTACCCAGTCCCTAAATAATGAAATGCTAGATATTTGTGTGTGTGTGTGTGTGTTGACTAGATGGGTCTTTATAAGTTTAGGTTAGAATTTGCCTTCAGTTTTTTTCTGTTTCAGGATGATATGACTGAGCTGATTTATTTGGGTATGTATGTGTAAATCATACGTACACACACATACAGGATTGCAAATGTGGCGAGTACTATACTGTCATGTTCTAGCATTAGAGTAAATACCAATTTCTGAGTCTCAAAGTATTCTGTGTGTCAACTCAACATGCTGAGTCAAGGCAATAATTTCTCAAATGTTCCTTTTTTTCCTGCTTATTTTTGTTGCTTTTGTATCGACTTAATTTTCTTAATTTTCCATTTTTTTAGTAAGCAAATAGCGTAAAATTGTTTTAATGCCTGGACTTTGAAACAAGTGTTTGAAATTATATAATCTACAAGCTAGTTTGCCATCCTCTTGGATTAATCACATACAAATATGAGTCTTGGCTGCAAAAATAGGAAATCCTGGTAGCTAGAAAGCAGGGATTGATCAAAACATGTGTTTGAAAAGGCTAGAATTTCTACTTTTTGGCAGAGGATTCCTGTTGGGACAGCTTTACCAAAAAAGAATACAAGTGGATATGCCCATTCAAACCAGGAACTTTCATGCATCTTGTAGTTACATAGCCTGTGGAATGAATTCATTTTTCTTCCTTGAGTTTGGGAGTGACTCCCCTGGAAGAACTCAACCTATATACAGCTGTGCCAAAATGAAGGATACCTGCCTCTCTGAAACTTACTGCTGCTTCTGTCATTGTTCACTTGTTAGATAAAAAGTTTTATTATCTCAGGATGCAAAATTACAATAAAGTGCAAATCTAAGGTAATGAATTAAATTGTGTGTTCTTTGTTGCATCTTCCTTTCTTCCTTCCCTTCCCTGTTTTCATCACTTTCAAGTGATTACTTAAGGCTTCCTTTTAAAAATTGTATTTTGCATATTGCACCTTTCCACATTTGCTAATGTAATGTCTGATCCTAAGTAATTAAATAATTCATACTAGATACTAGGAGCTTTCATTGTGCCCAATGTTTGGCATTTGGCTGAGTAGGAATCAGTATCTAAATGACTGCATTCACCCTGCATGCCTACCTGTGAACTATAAAATTAAAAGCAAAGTACAAATGTAGTTCCACCTTAGTAAGCATAGTATTTTAGTTGCTAGAAATGTTGAAATGTGAATATACTTGGCAAAAGTTTTGACTCTTTTTGTCAGCAGATCGTATTATAAATTCAAGTGTTAACATTTTCTTCCTGAGTTACTATTTAAACTGGTTAACATGCAGTAATATTAGATTTTTTTAAACTTGTGCCAAACTTGTGCAAATTCAGCAAAACAGCAAAATGTAACATAACAAGAAAAACGTATGTTTCCCAGTATCTTTGGTAATTGTTCTGAATATTTCAAAAAGGCTTTAAATTTCAAAATGTTGAAGTCAGAGATGATACACTTAAGCCTACAGAGAAGTTTCATAATGTTTTGTTTTAAAATTATTCTTTGAAGCTTTACTCTATGGATAGAGCAAAAATCTATACTTTTCATTGCTAACTTCTTGGATGTGGAGTATGATGTGCTATGTGGGAAGTAACTTTTACATTAGATTTTATACTATTAAGGGCAGAAGCCACATGCCTTTAAATCTGCCAGCGTAGGTAAAATTTAACACTTCATGGAATACTTTACTTACATAAATGTAGGAAATTCCCTGGTTGGATATACAAGAATTCTCCAGTTGTGATTATTATAAATCTGAGTTGTAATCCCCATTCTGTCAACTGAGTGGCCTCTAAGAAAAATCAGGGCACTCAGCCTGATTTTATCCTTCATTCTCAAGGTAGGAGGTTGGGTTAGATCACCATGGCAAACTATAGCTAGTCCTTAGATCAGCATGTCTTTTAACCAACAGAATTTTTTCCACACATTTTTAATTAGTTGCCAGCACATAAAATTAAGAGATTTCACACAGAAGTCCAGATTTCTGGCTTCTTTTGAGAAGATACACATGTGAACAATCAGCTTGAGCTGAGTAGCAGCCTGTCCCTTTTTGGTGGAGCATTCATTTATTTTCTATTTTGCTGTAGTCATTACTATTCCCTCTTACCTCCCTGAAACTCAGGTTATGACATTTTTCTTATGGTGTAGTTAAAAAGAAAGCAAAATATTTATTGAACTCATGTCTCTTTCAAAATTGAGAGGAAAATACCGACCATGATAGCTATTTGTATATTTTTTATTAAAGTATCATTGATATACAATCTTAATGATTGTTTCATGTAAGCAACACAGTGGTTTCAACATTCACCCATACTGTTAAGTCCTCAACCCCTCCCTCTGTTGCAGTCACTGTCTATTGGCGTAATAAGATGTTATTGAGTCATTACTTGTCTTCACTGGGCTGTACTGCTTTCCTCATACCTACCTATATTGTGATTGGAAATTATAGTGCCCCTTAGTCCCCTTCACCCTCCCCACCTGCCCTCCCCACCCTCTGTCCTTTGGTAACCACTAGTCCCTTCTCTATGAGTCTACTGCTGTTTTGTTGCTTCAGTTTTGCTTTGTTTTTATACTCCACTGATGAGTGAAGTCATTTGGCATTTGTCTTTTCTCCACCTGGCTTATTTCACTGAGCATAATACCCTCTAGATCCATCCATGTTGTTGCAAATGGGAGGATTTCTTTTTATGGCTCAATAATACTCCATGTGTATATGTACCACATCTTTATCCATTCATCTATTGATGGACACTTAGGTTGTTTCCATATCTTGGCTATTGTAAATAGTGCAGTGATAAACATAGGGGTGCATATGTCTTTTTGAATCAGGAATCTTGTTTTCTTCATGTAAATTCCTAGGAGTGGAATTGTTGGGTCAATTGGTATTTCTATTTTTAGTTTTTTGAGGAACCTCCATACTGCTTTCCACAATGGTTGAACCAATTTACATTCCCACCAACAGTGTAGGAGGGTTCCCCTTTCTCTGCATCCTAACCCATGATAGCTATATATATTTTTAAAAAATTGGTGGGGTTGGGGAGATGGAAAGAGTGCTTTTGGCTTTTTAATTTTTTTTCTGGTGGACGGTTAGTGTTTTCTTACAAATTACTTGCTTCATTCATTGACATTACCTGGTGATTATGGGCACTTGATCTCATGATACTACGCTAGACAATCTTGAAAGCCTCGTTTAATTATAACATTCTGAGTTTCCATGAGATGATTCTATAGCATTGGTGTTTTTCAAATTATTATGCTTTGAAGGCCTGTGTATGAAGATGAGTAGATGATGTTTATGAAACTGGTCAAGCTTTCAGTAGTAGCATCAAAGACTCCACCCAGTGAAACATGCCCACAAGCAGGGAGGACCGACACACTATTTTAGAACTGATCTTTGCTTGGTAACTTACCAACAAAAGTTTGGTCAGCCACCCAAAGCAGTACCTGCCTTTTTATCTCCCAGGGTAAGAATGCCCAAGGTGATACCACCATGATAAGAACTCTAGGTAAAATCAGTCCTATGTTTTGCTG